GAGCTATTTCCCTTCTGCTCCACAGAATGTTTCTGTTCTCTCTAGGCTTGCCTTAAAGACTGTTCATGCTTTTAACCCAGAATCATTTTTAGTTCCCCAAGCTTTACCATGAACAAAGGCATGAGTCTACTGCTCTTCCTACAATGTGGATTTCAGTACAGCTTACAACAGTAGTAATGCTAACATATCTAAAACTTGTACCTCGTTTTATAACTTAAAAAAGTCGTGTAAGCTTCATGCCATCTACTTTGATCCACCTCTCCTATGTCAAATGGACTCCAGATATATACTCCTGTCAGTCAACAGTCTGCTTCCCCACCTGACTATTCCTGGAGGTGGAATCTTCCCTTGTTCCTGGTGTTGGGACTCCCCTCCCAAAGTGACAAGGACCATGGGCCTAAAAGTTTCAAATGGACACCTAAGAAACAAATTCCCCCCTAACCTCCTCAGCTTTATCTTCTGTTGCTAATATGTGTCTCTTCCAGCAGATTTCCAAGCAATCAAATGCTGCAGACTGCTCTAACTGCTGCCTGATTTTCTATCAACAAAAGGCTGGGATGTTAAGATTCAATTTGGGACAAATGGCTGAGGTGACTATTTATCATACCAAATCTGGATTTGGTCACCAGTTTCTCCCAGAATCCTTCAGTCTCTACCTGTTACAGGGTATGGCTGGCATACTGAACCCCCTAACCTGAACTCCCCTGCCCAGAGGCTGGGCTCTCCTCCCCCCAGAGGCTCTTCCATATGTAATTTAGACATTTTGGTCACCTGTCTCTTTTGTATGTTTGGCCTCCTGACTGCTCCACCCGGTTCCCATCTCTTCCCTCCCCTCCCACTCTCTCCACATGGCCCAGCTCAGTCTGGTCTTGTCCACTCTGGACTCCCCAGATATCCCTTCCTCTGACTATGCTCTCCCACACAACTACAGTAAACTTTCTCCTCCACCATACTTAGAAGCAGCCGTGTCCTTTTTTTATTTCTTTTTTCTCATTCAAGCACACCCAGTGATACAGTTCAAAATTATAAAGTTTGCTCTGTTAGTCCATATACTATGAAAATTAAGCATTCATTTAAGCATTAACTAAAGGATCAGGAGAAGAGATCTGAGTTTCAGTCAGATCCTAACAAAGGACAAGTCCCAAAGGTCCATCGCTGGCCTGGAAGCCTATAGGTCTGGAAACCTTTCAGCCTTCGTGGCCAAGATGTATCCAACAGAAAATTCTCTCCCTCCTCTTTATAAAAACTCTTTGACAGGGACTTTAGTGCCAGAGTCCAGCTCTGTCGAGGTTCAGGTCCAAAAGTGGAGGTGTGGAGTTGATGAGGGCAGGGGGCTGACTGGATCTGAGGGGGAATCTGAACAGCTGCTGCTTTATTAAAGGAGGCTACACTTTCATACTCTACAATTGCACAAAGGAGTAACTGGGAATGGGAGGAAGGGGGCTTGTGTGCTGGGTTGGGACTTGTGAGCAGGGATTGAGGGAGCTAGCATGGACCATGAGGAGTTAATAGACACCACGGTCATGTGTTAATGGAAGGGCAGCGAGTTCCTCTTGCCATTCTTGAGGAGAATGGCTCCCTTTATAGCAAGCAGGAACTTTCTCCAAGCCCTTGTGGAAATGTCGGCTTTTGTTTAAATGCCTGATCTTGGGAAAAGGACTTTCTCAGGGAACCAGACTCTCTTATAGAATTTGCATAGCTTATCCAATAGCTAATGCTTAACATTAGCAAAAACAAAGGTAGACAAATATTACTGTGAACAGAATAGACCTTAGGAAATTATAAATCTTGATTATGAACTGCACCTTATTTATCAAAAATTCTTATTTGTCAAATAAATCTTCTTTATCAAGCATATGTTACTCATCTAACTTTTCTAGCAGCTTGTGTTAACCTGTTTAGGAGTAGACAGAGTTATCATGATATATGGTTTCACAGTGGCAGGAATTTTATTCAGAGAATTTTTTGTTTAAAGATGCTCCCATTGTATACACCTTCATCCTCCACTGAAGCCCACCCAGAATTTCCCAAAGGAAAAGGCCTAAGGAAACTCCCATAAGACACAGTGAGAATTATTAGAAATGAAAGTAAAAAGATAGTGGAGAATTGTGATCCACAATGTTGAAATGCTGGAACTCTGTCAAGCAGCAGTGGTCCTCATGTGGTCCACTGCACTTTATTATCCCCCTTTCCATAGTCTGTCATTGCTTTAGGTCCCATACATTCTAAAGTGTGTAGACCTGTAGCTTTGAATATTTTGTTCCTCTAGAAGTTAACAAATGCTGCAATAATTGTTCAAAATGCTTTGTCTCATATAACTGAGAAGAGCCCACAGTTAGTCCCACTCGCTCACATTAAGGACATGACCCATTATCATTATTTCTATTTATGGTAAACGCTCCTTATCTTCTCCAAGGATCATGTGCACCACATGGGGCACCAGTTGTGGGGGTCCCTGATGATGAGAATAAAAATCCAGGGCATACTGACCTCGTCAATCTGGATCAGACTTCAGGGAGACTATTACCAGGTAAGTCACTGTCAGCATATTTAAAACACAGTGCAATTTGGGAAAAGGTTTCTAGGCAACAATCAGTCCAATTCCAGGTGCACAATAAAGTTGAAGATGTGATGACATAGAGACTCCTTTACAAAGTACATGTGACCATGACTGTGGGTTCTATAGCAAAAAGGACTAGAGTCTAGTGTGATCTGTGACCAAGAAAGCATAGATGTCAGCAGGCCATAGAGTACATGTGACATCTCCCCTCAAATGCTTAGTGGACTAGGAGGGAAGACTCTGGGATAATCATTCTGCAGCACATTGGTGAGGTCTGCTCCACAGATAGCAAAAAGGTCACCAGGTCATTAACAAAATCCACTCTTAGTCTTCTGGATGGAATTCAGTTATTTGATTTGTATCTCCTTCAATGAGCAAGCACCCATGTATGATTAATTTCCTGGTTCTGTTAGTGCTTCTTTGTGAGTACACAGAACTCTGTGCCCCCAACATCCCATACATTCCCTAATCAGCATTAGCAAGTGGATCCACCTGCTATTTTCCAAGTTCAGGTACAAAAGAGTAGCCCTGGGAAACTAGGTTACTGAGCCAGAAATCCTATAGTGAGCCAGACTGAACATGCCAGTCAAGTGTTCGTGTGGCTTTAAAGAACCCTCAGCGGAAGGCCTGCAGGCAGGACACAGGATAAAATTCCTCCACAGAGCAGTGGAGCACAGCAGTAAAGCAGCTGGACAGGGATTCTTCATGCCATTGCCACTGCTGCTGGCTGCTGCTTCAGCACCGTCACAGATGCCAGACAGGGTGTCAAAAAGTGGACTGTGGATTTGGGACAAAGGCCAGGGTGCCATAGATCCAAGTGGACTCCAGGACAAAGATTGACACTAATGGTCCAAATGGTTTGGATGTAAGGGGCTGCCCATGTTTGCCATTTGCTCTTTGAGAGAGGGTCTCATGTATAACATGCTTGCCTACATCTCACAGTAGTCTCCCTGAAACAGTGTCCTCAGTTCATAGTACAATGGTGTGTCACACCTAGCTTCTGGTTATTTTATTAGTAACTGTGCAGAATTAATAGAAGTAAGGCAGGGTGGTGCAGGCCTTTAATCTTAGCACTCTACAGCAGAGGCAAACTTTCCTTTATGGTTTTTAGGCTAGTCTGGTCAGCAGATCAAGTTCCTGTCCAGTCAGGGCTGCAGAGTGAGACCCTGATAAAGAAAATGAAAAAATAGAAGTACGATGTAAAAATAAGTATTTCTTAATTTGCTTTACTTATTTTCACTAATGATGCAGAAGTAAGAGAAAACAAACCTGTAGACTGTAACATGAACCTTAAAAGGTCTTATTAATAAAAACAAAGCCGGAGCTAAGTATTGGTGTGAACACTGAAAGATCAGAGAAACAGAACAGGCCACATCCAACCTCACCTTGCCAATTCCTCAGGTGATCTTGTTCCTTCAGACTGAAAGCTTCTGAGTCCTCATGGGAATGGATCTCAGCTGAACTGCTGCTGAAAGCTAAAAGCTTAAAAAATACTCTAGTTCCTGGTCTTCATGCTTTATATACCTTTCTGCTTCCTGCCATCATTTCCTGGCATTAAAGGCATGTGTCACCATGCCTGGCCCTTTCCAGTGTGGCTCTGAACTCACAGAGATTTGGATGGACCTCTGCCTCTGGAAGGCTAGGATTAAAGGGGTGTGTGCTCTCATTTCCTGGCCTGTAAGTCTATCTAGTGGCTGTTCTGTTTTCTGACCTCAGATAAGTTTATTAGGGTGCTCAATATATGGGGGACACAATATTACCACAGTAGACTCCTATGTCAAATAGGCAATAATATATATGTTTATTTAAATATATAAATTATATATAATTTAGTCATTAGACTATTGAGGCTTTCTAGTAAATATAGTTATAAGTAAAAAGCTTACTCTGATCCTGTAGGGTTTACTTCTCTAAATCCTGTGTTTACATTGCTGGGCCTTTTCTACAGAACAACAGTTTGAGAGTGCATATTAGTGTATAGGTTTATTTTTTAATTATAATTTTTTTTTACAAAAATTTAAATCATAGCATGTTTTCTACAGCAAGCTTGAGGTATTGCTAGCCTAGAAAGTGGCAAGTTTCCCTTTTCATTTCTCAGTTCATAGCAAAACCTAATTCCCCAGAAAAGAGTCCTCCTGAGGGCAGGAATAGTTCAGGGAAGACTTTGCAGTCCAGCCCTAAGTTCTGCATGAATGTCAATCTCTGCAGGTCTGGGGCAGTTCAAGTGCCTGGGGTGAAAGCCAGAGCTGCCAATCCTTGGTCTCCCTCACTTCACAGCACTGCCCCTAAGGGAGCTGTTTAGATCACTCAGGCCTCAGTAGCCAGTCAGGAACTCCAGATGGACTGCCAATCAGAATGGGGAGGGCACTTCCGGTCCGCCTTGCAGCATGGTCTGTGGCTCAACGGTTAAGGGCGGGTCTCCTGTTCTGTGTGCTGGGCTGTGACTGGCTGCCTTGAGAAGAGCAGGTGAACTCGGAATCCGCCATGGTGAGTGAGGGGCCCCCGTCCCACGTGGGGAGAAGCCGTGGGAGCCAGTGTGGGGTACCCCCAAGGCTGTGGAAATGGCATCAGGACGCGGTGTCTGGAGTGATTCCCTTTGGTGTCCTGAGGTCCCTGCAACTCCCAGGCAGAAGCGGGACCTCTGAGTTATTTATTGCTGGGGTTTGCGCCTCTCAGAGCATGGGGGAGTGTGAGCCTTTGTGCGGAAATACCCTGTCACCATACAAAGCATGGTGGTCATGGTGATTTTTTTTCTTTTCATTCAGTAAAAACTGTGGCCATAAACGGCAGATTTGCTAACTCTCAGAGCCCTGGTTTCTCTAGTGTCTTCTAGAAGTTCTGCACTTGGCACTGAACATTCAGGTGTAGGATCCATCTGCAGTTAATTCTGTGCAGGTGTAAAGTCTGTGTCATTAACACATTTGCATGTAGATGCCAGGGTGGTTCATTTACCTGTGTCATTAAGGCCATACTTAGTGTGATTCCTGGCCTCGTGGGGCAAAATTGACTCTATATTTATTGTTTTTATTTCTAAGTTTGCTCTCATGTTCTGTTGATCTCTTTATTTTTTCCTAGACAGTTCAGTCTCTCTCTCTGTCTCCCCCCCACCCCAGATAGGTTTTCTCTGTGTAGCCCTGGCTGTCCTGGAACTAACTCTGTAGACCAGGCTGACCTGAAATTCCCAAGTGCTGGGTTTAAAGTTGTGTGCCACCACAACCACCCATTGCATTGCATTCTTTATTGCAATTTCATTCAAAGTTGGAAGTCAGATGGTGTCACTGTGTTTATGTACTGTTTATTCAGACGTGTGGTTTATCAATTTTTCATTCATGATGACATTTTCTCATGTTATTTTTGTTTCTCATGCAATTTAGTTTGTAGGATAAATTGTTAGACTTTAATTGAACTTCTGCTGTATCTGTAGCTCCAATTCTGCATTGTCATAATATAATGTTGACGTAATAGACACATGGTTGCTTTCTACTCAAGGTTATTCCTGCCCCCTGTTAAGGAAGCCCATCGTCCACTAGGCACAGTTCCCAGTGGGATCCCCAACTCTCCATGGTTAAATGGGCACGGTTACACCCTTTCCTTAAAAAGACTCTTTAATTAGGTTTCCATTTAGGTAGGAGGAGATGGTACTTGTGTTCTAGGCAGGTAGGCCCCATGCAGCTAGGGAACAGGGAAAGAATTCCATGACCCCAACCAGAGACAGCTGAATCCATTGATAAGTTTCACCAACTGATTGTAACCGTTGAAGCCAGTTGTTCTCATCCAGGTCTTTCACCTTCTCCTCAGTCCCCAAACACAAGATGTTGCTTGGCCCCATTTTCTCCCAATTGAGTCTGATCTAGGCTGTGATCAGACAGATTTGTGACTCTCCATGTTTGCTGGACTGAAGTCTTTTGGGTTTAATTTGTTAAAATGTTTAAATCAGTGGTAGTGTTGCTTGCTATTAATCCCAGCACTTGAGATGCAGAGGCAGGCAGATCTGTGAGTCTGAGGCCTGCCTGGTCTGCAGAGTGAATTCCTAGGACAGCCAGGACTGTTACATAGAGAAACCATATCTGGAAAAACAAAAACAAACAAACAAAAAGAGTTCCCTTGGTCATAGTGCTTCACAGCAAGGGAAGAGTCAGTAAGATAGGTTATTTAGTATTTTGTTATATTATCTCTGTATTCACCACATGCACTGGGAAATCAAGTAAGGCTAAATGAAAGAGTAATGTGCTACGGAATATTATTTTAACACAGAATTATGTAAATATATTCTCAATGAAGTGCACATTTGCAATGCAGTCAGTCTCACCATTTCTATTATGTACATATATGGGATACTTTAGGATGCAGTGACCTATGAGGATGTGCATGTGAACTTCACTCATGATGAGTGGGCTTTGCTGGATCCTTCCCAGAAGAGTCTCTACAAAGATGTGATGCTGGAAACCTACTGGAACCTCACTATTGTAGGTAAAAATGTGAGCTTTCTGTCACTTTTTAATTTAAAAAGGAAGCCTTTCTTGGAGATTAGTACTCTCCTATAATTTTGAATGTTAAAGAAGAAAACAAAGGTGAATAAATTAGGCATTGTTCTAAAGTTCATGAAAGACAGTAATTTCAATTGTTCCTAATTCCCAGTAATATATCACATTTTCTGGTACTGTATTTTAGGATACAAATGGGAAGACCATAATATTGAAAAACATTATCAAAATGCTACAAGACATGGAAGGTAATTTTTATGTGCAAGCTTGTATATTTGTGTGTCTGTGATAAGTATTGGATTCCTGGTTGCTAGGTTCCTCCATCACTGATGCAAAAAGTCAAATCAAACCAAATTAATAAATCCAGATTTCATAAACAAGGCATAGCAAATCAGCTCACTTTCAGGGGCTCTCATAAAGACAGAACAAGAGAGCACCCATTGTAGCTCTATGGGCCAGGTCTTAAATAGTCAGTAGGCATGGGCATGGTCCCAGGCATCTCTGGGGGAGGTGCCACCAATGGTGGGCTTTCTGCAATGGGGCCCCTGCAGCTGGAGATTCTAAACATGTCAAATTTTTTTGGGTATATATGGGTGCAGGTTCAAGTCTGTCTACTTCCCACTGGCATGGAACAATGTGGGGTGTGGGGGGAGTTGGGAGTCAGGTGGGCCCATGGTCAGCAGGGGTATGGGTGGAGAAGCATTTGGATAGCTGCCATCCAGGAGACTTCATGCATCTGTTCTTGAGGAGGCAGAGAATGCAGGTTGCTAGGAGAAAAAAGAATTGCTTTTTATCACTGGCCTTATGAACAGGGATAGCCATTGGTAGTAGGAAGAATGATGGAAAGAATGGAACTGAGAAGTGTCCTGATTGTACAGAAGAGTCAAGGGTGAATGAGTGAGGCATGAGGGCAGATATGCCTTTAATTGGGACATCTTGGAAAACAAAGTTTCAGTTACTGGGTAGGTGCCCACTTGTGCCAGGAGAGGTGGTACCAGCAGAGATGTCCCAGGAGCTTGGGGAGATGGCATGCCAAATCTAGGGATGATTTTTTCCAGGAGTACTGGAGCCATAGCATCTGCTGTTTCCTGGAGGTTGGGAGAGCATCCATCCTGTAAATGTGTCAATAAGAGTTAAGAGATATGGAGCCTTTTTATGAGCAGGCATGTGGGTGAAATTCACTTGTTAGTATTTGTCCAGTTGGAATTCTTGGTTGGTTTTGGCATCCTCGGAGCTCTTGCAGGAGCTGGTGTATCTGGAAGACCCCCTGGGGGTTTGGCCTTGGCCCTGGCAAGAGGAGTGAACCTACAGAATATGCTCAAAAATGGGTGGGGTCAAAAACAGGCTCTGGAAACAGATATTAATTTTCATTAGGTCACATTTCTTTACAAAGTAGCAGAGCCCTTTCCCCAGGAACCTTCACGTGTATGTAAAACTACTGGAACAGATTTACATCTTGGTTTCATACTACAAAGCTATGGCTTTTGGATATAAAGGCATGAACATTTTTAAGTCTAAATTCACTGAAGAAAGGAGGTTGTATGAGTGAAGTAGGAGGGAGTTGAACATGCCTGCAGGGTTCTATATTCTCTCTAATGTTAACCTAACTCTAAAAGCTGGACCAGTAAAATCCACAGAAATTTAAGGATTCCTGAAAACTGTTTGTAATCAGTGCTCTGTCAGTTTGTCAAAACTGCATTTATCAAAGCTAAAATTTGGAACTTCTGAAGTTATATCTGAAACCAGTTTATCCTGTACCATGAAGTCTGTGAATGAGGCACACCTGTATGTATTTTTAATAGGTAATTTACTAATGAACTACCAATGTGCTTGTAGCCTTTGGGTTGGGGGTGATGTTAAACTGGCAAATCTATTAGAACCCTGGTCATCAAACACCATCAGATCTGAGAAGGATAAGTAAATGAGCAGGAGTGAGCAGCTTTCCAGTTACCCAGGCTGTCCCAAGTCTCTCTATGGTCACTGGGGGACAAGTCCCAGAGGTAGCACTTGTTCAGATGCCAAGCTCAGAGGATCTGACAGATTCTCTGTGGAGTAGAAATTTGGGGAGACAGGCCTACCTGTCTTGGAAGAGTTGCACAATTGTTACCCCATTGCTCCACTTATTCACAGTCTGGACATGATCTCAGCAGCAGTTAATGGTGTAAAGCAGCTTTTTGCTGTGTGGCTGTCTTTGTTACATTTGAGGCAAACCTCCAGGTGGAAGTTTTTCTGGGGCCATCCATCTTTTTGGAGAAGATACAGAATACTTCCAGGAGTTGGCCTCTCATAAATCTCCTGGGATGATTTTATATATATGGCTTTTATATTAAATGCCATGTTCTCAGATCTCTGACAGTGTTTGAGAATGGGGGAACAAAATCTGTTAGGTATATCTAAATTAGACAAATGTTGTTTATGTTTAACTTTGAGGCCATATGTAAGTTAAGTCTAAACATACAGTTTACCCAGTTAGTTAGAGCTTACGATTGTTAGTAAAAGCCAGAAGATTCAGTCTTTAGTTTTCAGTGGTGATCCTAAGATATATCAGGCTAAACCAACTTTTAACATTGCAAACAATTTAATTTCAATATCAATTATCAAAAGCAGTGTTGTTTTAAACCCTGTTTAATAAACCTTGTGTTTAGGACAGGACAGAAATTATCAAACAGAAATATATCCTAACCCAAATTATATTGGACACCTAATGTCTCCTTGGTGGGGTCATTCCAAGTGGTTACCCTTATTAAAGATGGTGGTGAAGTGTTTCTTTAACCTCAGTCAAAATGGTGACTGGCGATGTTCTCCAGAAGAGTTTCAATCTGGAGTTACAAGCCTTACAGATTTTAAAACATACCCAATTAGCAAGACACATTCAGGACACGTAAACTCAGGCATTCAAAACTAGTCAGAAACACACATGTGTGGCCACACCATTCACACATTTCCACCATACATAAAAAGTAAACAGGATCAGTAACAGAAACAATTTTTTAAATGAGGATCCTAGCAGTCCAGGCATCCTGATACCCGGATCCCAGAGAAGGCACTGCAGAGGGAAATTGAAAAACAGAATAGCAACACATGCTGCCCAGTTGAGTAAGTCAGAGCAGCAAGTTGAGAATTTTGGAAAAAGAAATTTTTAGGAAGGAGGTCGGTGTAGCAGAGTATATTGAAGTAGAACAGGTTTAAGGGTGGAGTGGGCAGGTAGAATTTTAGGGATGGGGAGTATGGGAACAGAGACCCCCATGAGCTGCAGCAAGGTGGTAGAGGTGGGGGTGGTAGTGGTGGTGGTGGTGGAGGTGGTGGTGGTGGAGGTGGTGGTGGTGGAGATGGTGATGGTGGCGGTGGCTGCAGCAGTAGCTCAGGTAGGAGGGAGGAAAGAAGGAGAGAGCAGACAGATGGACCAACAGGCTGGAAACATTTATGCAGTAGTTCAGTTTGTGAGAGCAGACAGGAACAGAGAAAAAGGATCTATTGTGGGGAGAATTCCGGTGTGCCCAGATCATATTCCAGGAAGGAGAGAAACAGGCAGACAGACAAACGGAGCTGGGGTGGGAGAGGAATGTGAACATTAGAAACACAGTGTGGCCAAACTACACCCTGGGAACAAGATGCAGGCAGATAAAGAGTAAAAGGAAGAGAGAGGAATGGGGAAAGTATACTTGCAGCCCAATTTAGAGGAGACAACCCCAGTCTTTCTGGGGACTGAACTTGGACTTATCAACTACCCATTCACAAGCCATTTACCAGGGACAGAGTAAACTGGGGCGGGTACACAAATCACATCGGATTCTATAAACCTATATCTGGGAGCTGTGTGTGGGGTGGACTCTGTGGTGAAGTCTCTCTCACACAGGGGAATTCCAAGGGCATTGACTGTTGCTCTCTGAAACAGGCTGGGGTCACCTGGCACTGCAGTGGCTCAGCAGGCAGTCTGGAAGTTGGAAGAGGTCCTGGACCTCTAAGACATTTTGGTTTGGCAATGGGAGGCTTACTGAGCTGTTCTTTCAGTGTGACAAAGGTGGAATAGGGAGAGAGAATGAATGGCCTTCCACAGCCACACCACATGGTTGTGGAAGGACTACTCACTCCAGCCAGTGCACCAAAGATCCCCAGTTGCTGGGTTCCTCCATCACTGATGCAGTAAGCAAAATCAAACTGAATTAATAAATGCAGATTTAATACACAGGGCAGCGCAAAGGAGAGCACTCCCAGGATGCTCTCAGGAAAGCAGGAGACAGATCACGAGAGCACCCATGGCAGATGTACGGACTGGGTCTTAAATAGCTGGTAGGCATGGTCCCAGACATCTCTGGGGGAGAGGCCACAGATGGCAGGCTTTCTGCAATGGGGCTGCCTTAGCAGGAGATTGCAGTTTGAAAAAAATGTTAAATTACCCAGAACTTTTAATGAAAAGCAAGTATGTAAATAGGCATACTTTTTTGTGATGATTATTAAATTTGTTTGTGATGATTATTAAATTTGCACAACTCCATGTACTCCAGTGTCAAGTAGCTGATCACTGTTTGCAAAGTTTTCCATTAAGGACAAGACAAGGAAACAATGCCATAATAGATGTCACAATTTCAATCATAGCCATGTGAGAGGCATGTTGTAGATCTGTTCATCCAATTACTAACATGCCTTCCAATTGTCATATCATTGATGAGGGCATTAGTGTATGGCCAAGACCTTTTATAAGCAAAGCTTCCATATTAAAGCTAGTGTTCCTCATTTTCTTGTAGGGAATGATTTAACATAGTTTAATGAGAGGAGCACTTTATGAGTGACTTTGAGAAGTAGAAACATGAATCTCTATTTTAAATATGTATCACACAAAAAACATTCGACTATGGTAATGCAATGTGAAAATCCTTTATTTGTTATCTTCCTTTACCAGGTATGTCATCTGTCACTCTGGATACAATCCATGTGAGCATAAGGGGTATGGAAAGAAGGATTGTATTTCTGTCTCTCTCAGAACAACTGGGAAATATGTGGTCATCCCCACTATGAGAAAACATGATGACTGTGATACAAGTTTACAATTAATTGGTTTTCCAACTTCAGTGGGAATTCATCAAGAAACTCTCATTGGAGAAAAACCTTATGAGTACCAGGAATATGGAAATTCATCTGTCTCTTCTGGTTCACTGTGCACATGTAGTGTGGCTCACAGTATAAGAAAATGTTATGAATGCAATCAGTGTTCTCTGATTTCTTCAAGTTCTCTTCAAAGATGTGAAAAAGCTCATGTGGGAAGAGAAAATAATAAATGTGAGTCATCTACTAAAGGCTTTAGCCTTTGCAGGCATTTTCAAACACACCAAACATCCAAAAGCAAAGAGGCTTTCTATGAATGTAATCAATATGATAAAGCCTTTATATCTGATTGCTCTTTAGAAGTATACAAAAAAACTCATTTGGAAGAAAAACCCTATGAATATAATCAAAGTTATGAAGCCTCTGCATGTCACAGTCTTCATCATCAAGTACATAGAATTCAAACTCGAGAGAAATGCTATGAATGTAATCAATATAGTAAAGCCTTTGTACAGATGAGTGATCTTCACAGACATGAAAGAATTTATACTAGAGAGAAACCATATGAATATAATCAATGTGATAAAGCCTTTTCAGAGAAGAGACATCTTCATGGTCACGAAAGAGAGAAACCCTACGTATGTAATCAATGTGGTAAATTCTTTACAGGAAAGAATAGTCTTCGCAGTCATGAAAGAAGTCATACTGGAGAGAAACCCTATGAATGTAATCAATGTGGTAAAGCCTTTGCACAGAAGAGTAGTCTTCAAAATCATGAAAGAATTCATACTGGAGAGAAACCTTATGAATGTAATCAATGTGGAAAAGCCTTTGCACAGAAGAGTAGTCTTCAAAGTCATGAAAGAATTCATACTGGAGAGAAACCATATGGATGTGATCAATGTGGTAAAGCATTTACACAGAAGAATCATCTCCAAAGTCATGAAAGAATTCATACTGGAGAGAAACCCTATGAATGTAATCAATGTGGTAAAGCCTTTGCAACAAAGAGTCATCTTCTCAGCCATGAAAGAAGTCATACTGGAGAGAAACCCTATGAATGTAATCAATGTGGCAAAGCCTTTGCAATGAAGAGTTATCTTCTCAGCCATGAAAGAAGTCATACTGGAGAGAAACCCTATGAATGTAATCAATGTGGTAAAGCCTTTGCACAAAAGGGTAATCTTCTCAATCATGAAAGAATTCATACTGGAGAAAAACCCTATGAATGTAATCAATGTGGTAAAGCCTTTGCAATGAAGTGTCATCTTCAAAGTCATGAAAGAATTCATAGTAGAGAGAAACCCTATGAATGTAATCATTGTGGTAAAGCCATTGCCTCGAAGAGTTATCTTCTTAATCATGAAAGAATTCATACTGCAGGAAAACCCTATAAATGTGACCAATGTGGTAAAGCATTTGCAAGGAAGAGTAATCTTCACAGTCATGAAAGAATTCATACTGGACAGTACCATATGGATGTAATCAATGTGCCAATTTAAGATGTGAGATCATGTGGGTGTCATGTTGGTGCTGGAAACTGAACTGTGTTTTCTACAAAAGGTACAAACTGGAGTCCAGTTCCATCAGTGTTCAGGTCCCAAAGAAGAGATCAAGCATCAGCAGAGGAAGGAGACTGCCATGATCTGAGCATGAAGCAGTATAGCTGCTGCTTTATTGAAAAACAACTACACATTTTATGCTCTATAACTGAATCTTAGTTTAGACTTAAACAGGTTAAAAACAGACTTAATGATTCCAGGATAAAAGCAGCCATCAACCTCATTACAGCATTTTTCTGAGGCAAAAAGTGATAAATTCAGCAAGTATCTTAATGCCTTTCTAGATGTGAGCCCATGGTTTCCTTTCATAGTTGCTTTCATCCTTGGAACTAGGTGTATCTGGTTAGTAAATCATTAAGTTCTCTATTTTTGGTGTAATCAGTGGACACAATGGGGATTCTTGTGTGGAAGTAGACATAGTGATCACACTGTGTGCTTCCATGGTGGTGGGGATTTTTTCCAAGAATTTTGTTTAAAGAGACTGCCTTACCTATGTATATGTTCCCATCCTCCAGTGTAGCCAGCAAAAAAAAAAAAAATTCCCACAGTAAAAGGCATAAGTGGTGAGCATGCCAGGGTCAGAGCTGTGCCCAGGAGTCCCTGGACAAGGAAAAGGAGAATGATGGAAAAAAGGCTTCCTTCTTGCTCACTGGTGGAGCACAATAAGCTGAGATTACACAAAACTGAAAAACCTCCCAGGTGGCAAAGTATTGAAGAATCCTTCCACTTCTCACATGGGAAACTGAAACAGAAGGAAGACAATCGTGGCTAGAGCAATTCTGGGTATTGTTCCAACTGGTTATTGTAACTATGGTAACAAGTGTGGTGCACTTACATCTGTTTGAGTAACAGGCATAAGGAGGTGAAATCACTGAACAAAGGTTGAAAGACAATAAATGGACCATTAGTAGGATTTGAACCCATGTATCCCATGTGTACTCATATAAAGTTTTTAAGACTGCATGTATTTATTAATGTAAGGGTGAGGGCATGCATGTGTGGGAATCAAAGAACAACTTACCTGAATCCATGTTCTTCAACCATGTGGTTCCCAGGGATGGTTCTCAGAAAAACAGGCTTGGCAGCAAGTATCTTTACCAGTGAGAATATTCTCACTGGTCCCCAGTTGTATCATTTTGTGTGAATGTGCATGTGTGGAGGTCACAGGTCAAAGTTTGGCATCCCACAAATTGATATTATACTCTAAATTGACTTTATGGGTTATTAGGCATGGCAAGGCATCTCCAGACTCTGGAATTCTCCAAGATATGCCAATGGAGACCCTAAGGACAGGGGAGGCATTTGTGGCTTTCTCTCTAGAGCCAAATAGACAAAATATTTCTTGACCTGAAGTTCAGACAGTGCCTGGTTTATTTGTGCTGTGAGTACACAGGGCCTTGAGTCATTAAAAGATAATACGTGGCCAGGCAGTGGTGGCACACGCCTTTAATTCCAGCACTTAGGAGGCAGAGCCAGGCAGATCTCTGTGAGTTCGAGGCCAGTCTGGGCTTCCAGGTAAGTTCCAGGAAAGGTGCAAAGCTACACAGAGAAACCCTGTCTTGAAAAAAAAAAAAAAAAAACCACTCTGTATTTTTGATTGTGGTAACAAATCACATCCTCATAAATTCATGGCTGTATTATCCACATATTGCTTTAGTTTTCCTGTTTGTCATTCTGTCCCTATATATTCCACCCCTTTTGTATATGTTTTACCTAAGATCAAGTTCAAATCCCTGGAAGCTGAATATTTCCCCTCTGAAGAGGCCAATCTGGATGCCAAGATTTGATGAACATAAAAACATGATCTCTTGCCGGGCGGTGGTGGCGCACGCCTTTAGTCCCAGCACTCGGGAGGCAGAGGCAGGCGGATCTCTGTGAGTTCGAGGCCAGCCTGGACTACCAAGTGAGTTCCAGGAAAGGCGCAAAACTGCACAGAGAAACCCTGTCTCAAAAAACAAAAAACAAAAAACAAAACAAAAAAAAAAAAAAAAAACATGATCTCTTACCTGTCAAGGGTAACAAAATAATTGTTTGAATTTTTTTCTTCCTAAACATTTAAATTTATGAGGAACATGTTCAGCACCTGGGGTATTCAAACACAAGGTCTGATTTGGGTAGCTCCTTTCCTGAATCTGGTACCCTGTACCAAGTTCAAGTGAAAAGGTCACTGGTTGCATCCTGGCTCAGGGTGGCCCCTTATGAAGCCCCTGCACCCACCATATTACAGAACTCCCAAAGAAGCCTTTCTGCTAAAGGAGCCTTTGAGGTGCAGCAGGCTATCCTGGCCAGCTCTGAGGAGGAGGATGTACTGAGGGACCAAATCACAGACTTGCTGCAGACAATATAGTTACTACAGGCTCTGTGGAGCATGGTCAGGTGATAGAACATAGTGAACACCATCTCTGTACAGAGAGGGATAGTTTGCTGGGTCCAGCCTGGGCCAGGTGCCTCATGGACATGTCCCTGCTTCAGCCATCTATGACCACTGAAGGTGGGGTTTTGATTTAGGTACAGAGGTGTGTGGTTGTGTCTTGCCATAGATGCAGCTGTTGCAAGCCTGGAGCTGTTGAGGAGACAGCTCAGCCATTCAGTCTCCATCATTCACCTCTGCAACATAAAGCCTTAGGGACCACCTTTCTCAGCCTGCAGGATGATGACCAGGACTCCTGCACTGGGAGATCAGACTGGGACATTACAAATGGTGCTCAGCCAGCCCCACCACACCATGACTCCCTACACTCTTCCTGTGATTCCCATTACTCTGCAACACTTCACATGTTACAACTTCTGATATGCCACCTACATCACAAGTATCCACCAGGGAGTATAAGCTCACTGTGAAAGGGAAACATAACCAATGTGGAACATGGGTGATGGCAGGAGGGTGGCAGATGGGCTCAGTAGATAGTTTGAGCTTCTGGACCCAAAACTCAGTTATGGCAATAAACATGAGTACAGTGCAATATTAAATAAATCCAGGGAATGTTGTGGCTCATGGGTGAAGCCACTGCATAGAAATGTCCGTCAATTTTTCTAGAGATAGTTCAAAAAGGTCTCAGCCTTCTGGAGATTGCAGAAGGTATGGCAAAGGCTGGCATTGTAATGCTGAATTCAGATCATGAAGGAACAGACACGGTAACCCTTTGACATTGGGAAATGTTCTGAGTGGGCCTTCTGGAGGCCCCAATATCAAATTTGATCCAATGATTATCTGTCAGCATCAAAACTCCCAAAGTTAGATTACACAGTGGTTTATTAACTTCTAATTTTTATATGTCCATGAGAACAGACAATATGCACAGAGATATTGTATAGTACAAAGAACTTCTGAATTAAATTAGTTTGTATATTTTAAAGATGTGTTAACCTCATAATGGAAACTGGGATATGTGTTCCATTGGGGAACAGATTTTACCTTTGCTTTCACAGGAGAAAAAAAGTGGTGAATACCATCAGGATTGATAAAGGTAAGGTTTGAATACAAAGGACCTGCTGAATAAGGAGAGGTGACAGTTCATCAGACAGCTTGGTCATTCAATCCAAGCTAATATAAAGACTAACAAATGCCTTTCATTTGATCAGACAAGGAAAAATTAAAAAATATATTTTCAAATGATAATTTACAAATGGCACACTTGTCTTACTGGAATGATATGAAACATGGGTTTTCTTGTACCACATGTCTCAATTCCATGCTACAATATTAGACTGTGGATTGTAACATGACCCATTGTTGTGGGATGTTCTGTATGGTAAATGTGTTGCTCTGATTGGTCAATAAATAAAATACTGATTGGCCAGTGGCTAGGCAGGAAGTATAGGTGGGACTAACAGAGAGGAGAAAAGAAAGAACAGGAAGGCAGAAGGTGACACTGCCAGCTGCCACCAGGACAAGCAGCATGTGAAGATGCCGGTAAGCCACGAGCCACGTGGCAAGGTATAGATTTATGGAAATGCATTAATTTAAGCTATAAGAACAGTTAGCAAGAAGCCTGCCACAGCCAATGGCTGAGAGTGTCTCCCTACGCCTTCTTGTTCTTTCAATCCTCTCTGTTATTCCCGCCTATACTTCCTGCTTGGCTACTGGCCAGTCAGTGTTTTATTTATTGACAAATCAGAGCAACACATTTGACATACAGACCATCCCACAGAACAGATCTCTACAGGTTACTTTTTTTTTAAAGGCATGGTAGTTCATGCCTTTAATGCCACTACTCAGGGTCAAAAGTCAGATGCAGTGTTTACAGGTTATTGTAATAAGTCCTCTACAGAATTACCAGAAAGGCAGCTAATTTCCAATGGGGACAAGAACAAACAGCCACTTTTGTGGCTGCCTTTATGCTCTTCTCTGTGCATGCAACCTTGACTACTGTTTAACCAGATAATATCCTGATGATAGATATCAGCATATTTATTGCTTAATTGGCATCTATGGACTCTTCATAAAGCAAAAAGAGTCCACCTACATTTACCATATGGATTTTATTACAAACACTTTCCATATAAGGAGAATAAATATCCTCTCAGAAAAAAATCTGCACATTTTTTGGAGGTATGGACAACCTGATAGTGAAGGACAACTATCCTATGGTGATCTGGGCACTCCTTACAATGATGGATTGGTTCTCTTCAAAGTCTGAGTCCTCAGCATGGAAGGAAAGTTATTACAGTGGAACTGGTACATATCAGAATTCCTTAGTGACTGAGACATGGTTAGCACTGAAGAAATAGTTCAGTTGCTTAAAGTGGTCACCCCTCCTCCAAGAGAGGCAACTATTGAACTGCAGGGACCAGCAGAATGGTCAAATCATTTGGCTAAGGCTGGTTTACTGATGGCTCATCAACCATTGGTGGATCCCAAACTAAAATGGAAAGTGTCAACCTCTAGACTTGAGATGGAATGGCCAAGTTTGAGGAAGAAGATACCACAAAATCAGTGAACCACAATTGGGTAGAAGACAAACAGCTAAAGGAGGCCAAAGGAACATCTGCAGTTCATGGGCTGTGCAGTAGTATAGTTAAACAGCAATCAAAATGGAAAAGCACTCACTGGCAGGTGAATGGCAAAGACAGCGGGGCATGGGAGGCATGGATGGAAATGGCAGCACCCGGCAAAACTTAGCAAGGATGTGAAATTTTATGTATTTCGTAAGAGCAAGACAGAGAAAATGTCTGAAAATAATGAGCAAATTGGCATCATGTTTAATTACGATTAGAATATTAAAATTTGCCAGGGAACACATTCAGAATAAATCAGCAACAATGATAGTTACACATTTGAGAAACTAGAAAGTTTACCCCTAAATCTAAAAAATAAGGAAAATGTAGACTCAAATTATACTGGGGCATTCTATGAGAATAACTAGTAAGGAATCTATAGTGAGGTGGTTGTTCAAATCTTTAATCCCAGCACTCAGGAAGCAGAGACAGGCACATAAGAATTCAAGTGATTTAAATTTAAAAGCCACTTGAAATTCAAAGTGAATGCTGTTGCAGAATATTCCTTTACACAGTGTGAAGATGTTTCACTGTGATTGGTTTAATAAAGCACTAAATGGCCCTAGTTAGGCAGGAAAAAGTTATGTAGGACTTCTGGGGACAGAGAGGTCTCTGCGTAGAAGAAAGACAGAGTTGCCAGCAAGGGAGAATGTAAGATGAATTGCTAAACAGTCTTATTAATAAAAAAAAGAAAAAAAAAACCGAGCCTTATATTGAGGTGAAAACTGAGAGATCAGAGAAACAGAAGTTAGCCACATTCTTACCACTTGGAAATCCTCAGCCAAAGAGAGCTACTTCCTGTATACCCACACTATATGCTTTTCTGTGCTCTGCCATCTCACTTCCTCTCTCTGCCCAGCTACATCACTTCCTCTTTC